CCTTGTAATTCCAAACAAAAGCTTAAAGGGGGGCAGAACATTTTGAACAAAGAATAACAACAGTTCAAATCTATACTGCCTTCAGGGCAGTCGGGGTGCTCACGAACATTTTTGACAATTATTTCCAGGGGAATATGTCACTGTTCAAGAGGAGCTTTCTGAACATCAAAGTCGGTCTCTCTGAAGAAATGTTAGATAACTTCAAAGTCTTGTGACTGCTTCGCCAAGAGGTGCTTTGCCTTTGTTTTGTTCTGCTGGCTTGTTTTGCTCTTCATTGTGGAGAAGATGATAGTGACTGCGACTGCATGTTGCATCATGAAACACTCCAACGTAATTTCCTATTCAAGGACACAATGGATGTTTGGCACATCTTTTAACAGCAGATATTGAGACAGGTAAGTGTTGCCTCGTGCACCCAGAGGTAGGATTGTTGCTTTCTTTTCTTTCTAAATCAGTCATTGAAATGCGCTGATGATAAAGGTATATAATCGTAGAGTGTTCATTTGTGTGTCTTTCGATTGTCTGCTGATGAAAAGCTACATTACTTCCAACTCATTTTCTTTAAAGTCATTTTAAGTAAAAAAGAAAAGAAAAAAAGAAAAGAAAAGAAGAGTAAAGGAGCATCTAATAATTTCTCAGAGCGTATGGGTGCTTTGAAAACATTGAGAAAACTCTCAAAGGATAATGTGTGTATACTGCTATTTCATCCCGAACCCATCCTTATTCTGTATTTTTGCCTTTTTCTGGAATTATCTGATAAATATTCAAATTTGATCTCGAATTTGCTTAAGTTAGGGGCAGAATAGATGTGTCACACTTTCCTAATGTTTACTTAAAAAAAAAAAAGATTTCAACTTTGCAGAACTTTTAGGTGGCTGTCACATAAAATGCCAATGAAATATATTGAAGTTTATGGTAGTGATGTGACAATACATGAAGAATAAGAAACTCTGTATATCCAGTCATCAGCTAATGCTTACTGACTGCTGGTGTATTTGAATATTTAATATTAATACCAATCTGGATATCTCGGAGGAAAACAAAGTTTGACAAAAGAGAGATCATCTGCTACCTTTTAAAAAATAATTTGCCTTAGTCCTGCTTTCATTTAGCGAAGCATGCTGGACAATGAAATGCTTCTGTATTTCTAAAGGAAGCTGCAGCCTTGCTTTCGTACACAATTTTGTACAGCTGCTGCATTCTCACTGGTTCTCTGGTGACAATTATTTTTGAGATGCTGTAGCATTAGTTGGATTTTCTATAACTGAGGATCAGCGTTTTGTGCAGAGAGCATTCTGTGACACTAACTTCCAAGTCTATTCAGACAAGAGTCACATCGTGCAGAATGACCAGCAAAGAGGAAGACCATCATTTGCAATAATCAAATGTTGTCTTTCAAAAGATTCTTTTTTTTTTTTTTTTTGGGTTTTAATGATTTTTGCATTATTGTGGTATCAAAATAATAATGATGTAATAAAAAGATGTAATAAAAAAATATAGGAATATGTAGAGAAAACCTACTTTTTGTTAAAACAAGCGGAGAACAAAACAGAGGAAAAACGATCTACCATCTTCTAAGAATAATATTTTATGCAAGCAGATGAACCCATATTTATCTGGGATTTTGGGGTGTGTTGCATCACAGATTTTGGTAATCCTCCTCCAATTCCCATCAACTGTCACCATTTGTAGTTTTTCACATGTTACTGTGGAGCAAAAATAAAACAAGCAACAACATGCTCCTTGGCTTGGGATGAGAAGATTTTCTTTCTGCATTCTATTAGCTGCGATATAAGAAGACAAAAGGAAGATATTCTATGGCGACACATTCCTGCCAAAAATCCCAACGACGCATACAAACCGAGAGATCACCTAGAAATGAGGCCGCGTTTCCATTTATTTGCAGGCCCTTGAATGCAGCATGTGGAACAGTAAACACATCTGTACGCTCTCACCAGAAAGCTCTTTGGGTTTAGTGGGCGTATTGGTTAGTTGGGGGCGGTGGCTCTTCTGATTAGCCTGATTGGCCAGATAATCAGGTGACAGCTACCACCACACTTGGCATCAAAACAGAAGAAGGACAATGAAGAATAAGAAGGTAGAATAAAAGAAGTAAAAAAAATCAACAAATGCTCCTTTTCCTTACCGTCTTATTCTTGTAATCTTCATCTTCCTCCACTTCCCCTTTTCTTCTTCTTCTTCCATGCTTTGAATCCACATTACATTCTTCTCCTGAAGTCCTAATTAAAAGCGACAAGTCAATATACACTCTACTTGTTTTGATGGATGGCAAAAAAAAGTTTTATTTTGTTTCAAAATATATACGCAAAGAGAAAGTTGGAGTCAGAATGGTTCATTGGAGATGTGTCACAGAACAACACCGACTCAGCTGGCGGCTGCTTCATTTGTGGATTGAAGTCGCCAGAGAGAGAGAGCTGAAATGCACTGTAATTACAAACAAGTCTACATGGACCACTGAGCAAAGTTTCAGTATTTTCATATAAAAGCAATCAATTTTGTAAATGAGAGGAGTTGTTGTGTGAATTCAATCATTATAGAATATAGTTTATAGGGGAAACAAGACACCAGGAAGGAATAAAAACAGATGCCAGGCAACGGGACAATTACTAATTATGCTCAACAGCAAATAATGTACATTGTTAAACTAATTTTCAGACCAATTATGATAAATGAACTAGACCTTGTTAATGAGGAACTAATATAAAACTGCTTAAATATAGTGGCATGTCTTTTCTTTGTAATTATCATTCGGTTTTACCAAAAGCGTACCACTTTTAGGAAAAACTATAAATAGTCATAATGGACACCACAACTCCATATAGTTAGACTGTAAGCCACTTCCATACCTGGTGCTAAAATGGAAAACTATTTACTACTTTGTAAAGTAACATCCATCTCAAGTGTATTTCATCTGATTTTGCATCCATATTTACTCCTGTAAACACTTTGTACTGTGTACAAGATTACAATGTAAGATCTTTATTTGATGAGTCAGCTGTTTTCTTCAGAATCTGTGCATATCCTTGCACAAATAATTTTAGACATTTAGAAACACAGGAAGCCCAAACACTGTTATTAAGAGGAGTTTAAATTATGTCTAAGAAAAATACTAACAAGATACAAAACATGACTGGCTTTCCACACCTGAATAATGGTCTAATGGTGAAAATGTGAATTTGTAAATTTTGTTTGATTGGTTCCTGTACTTACAGACCAAGGACATTAATCAATCGCCATGGCCACCAAGAGCTAAACACTCAAAGATTTCTTAATATAAGCTCACACAAATTTAAACAATGATCCATGGTTTCATGGAGTATGGCATCTATCAGCACAGCATACGGAGGAGGAAAGGGCTTGAATATCAACCATATTTTTCCCATTTTGCTGACAAATAAAAACAACATAACAGAGACAATATATGTCAAGATGAAAATATCATCCCAGCAGGGAAAGTAACCTCATGTTAGGGGGGCTGCTTCGTACAGTGAGCAGCCAGTAATTGAGTGCAAAGCGCAAATAAATAAAATCAAACAACTTTATAATGAGTGTTTTAAATCACATTTGATGCATACATCAAAAGATTTCTTAAAAAAAACACACACACATTTTTGGTTTCATTAAAGAGTGAATCTTGTATAAGTTTATGGCTTAATATGCAAACAATAACTTTTCATCCATTTAACCTATGTTCTGTAGGACTTTTATCCTGTTAGCTGTTGAATATCCTCTTTCAAAAGTTATAAAATAAGAGGCAAATACATTGTAGACAAGTCAAAGTACGCCTGCAGATTCAGAAAACAAACTCTACACATGCAGGTTCCAGTTTTGGCTTTTTCAGTCTAAAGCTAACTAGACGCCTAACACTGTCTAGTTTCTGGTCATAACATGAAACACGTTATTAAGAAAGAACGGCTTTGAAGCAGAAAAAATGTTCAACTCTACGTGTTGCTGTGCTCTGACAGGTGGATTAAGGTTCAGAAATGGTTTCTAGAACCTTCAACCATTGAGACTTCATGTGTGAACTTGTGGATAAAAAGTAAAAAGTTTTGCAATTTCACCAAGCTCCTTGTAAGTGCAAAAATGCAGTTGCTTAAATTATTAAGAAAAAGAAAATAGAAACACTTTTCTGTGAACAAAAGTGGTGCATATAAGCTGTTGCACACTGGATTTGAAGGAGGGAAATAATCATAAACTGATTATTAATGAGGCTCACTCAAGCCTATATCTAAAATAAACTCCTATCTTCAGTGTAGTTTCACAGATCTCTCTCTAAACATCTCAGGTTATCCGGGCGCAGTATCTGATTATAACAATGCTTTCCCCCCCCCCCTTTTTTAAAATATACGTATCTTTAAACAATGTATTAACTCTACTGCTTCTTCTTCTTTTGTAGCACGGAGGGTTTTCCTGTGATTGCTTCAGACTGACCTAGTTTAAATGACAAATTTCCAAAAGCAGGGATATAAATTCACAGCCTACCATGCTGCCAAGACTAAATGTGTTGAGCCAAAATAAAAAAAAAGAAAAAAAAAGAAAATAATAATCATAATAAACATAGAAATGTGATGAAAATAAAAGGAAGTTTGAAAACCCTATGCACAGGGTTTAGGCTTTCTACAGTGATCATGGCAGATTATGAATTTGTTTGAATCAGTCAAATATAAAAATGTATCAACTAGAGTTGGAATAATTTTAAAAGTAGAGCAAGTGAAATAAAGAGATGAAACAGATTATGTGTAGGTATCATTTTTAAATGGCGGATCCTGTCATTAAGCCTCTGTGGTTCATCAGAAACTAGGACGAAAATGCAGAAAGTCTGTTAAAACTGAACCTGAAGGAAACTGCACACTGTGTAGAGCAACATACACGAAGGGTCATTCAAAGGGGCTGACATGATTAGGTAATCCATAGGTCCCATGTTCAAAGTAATCTGATAGGTGATCTCTGCCAGTGAACCAGAGTCGAGACTTGACAGCTTCAGTCGGCCGCCATCCCTTTATTCCTTCAGGGCTTTGAGAGGAGGCTTCTATTTGTGTGTGTGTGTGTGTGTGTGTGTGTTTTATCAGCAATGAGAAGCAGATTTAGCCAAACCGGTTGCAGGAACAACGCATGAATCTTCGACAGGAAGGAGACTGCAATTGATCAGAGCAGTAATGGGACATTTGTTCACCCTGTGGATGGGAACTCTCCTGCAGCTTTGTCACGCTACTATTTATACCAATGACTGGGCGATCAAAGTTAGAGGGGACCCTGAGTCTGTGAAGAGGATAGCAGAGAAATATGGCTTTACAAACATGGGTCAGGTGAGTGTGCTGAAATACAGAGCATATTCTCTTGCGTGAAAGAAGCAGCTTTAACATCACCGACACATTTTTATTAAGACAAAACCTTCCAATAATTCTCCAGTGTTATGTAAAAGAATTATATAAAATCTCAATGTTTTATTACATTTTTTTTAAAGATGCAAAAAAAAAAAAAGTCTTTTCTGTGAATATCTGGATAGAAACTGAATGCGTTATAATGAAGATTTTCAATAACAATATCTTTGTTCAAACAACAGAGACGTTCGTGGAGCTGAAGGAAGAAGTAGCGCTACTATTAATAATCAAAATTTGTTCCCCATCTCGTGTTCACACAATTAAAGATTAATTGTTGCTTAGCATAAAAACCTCATGGGAATAAAATGCTGAACTTTATCACTGTTTTATTCAAGGTTCCGAGACCCACAGCACGACCATGTAAATAATGCATTAAAGCAAATAAATAAACTATGTCTATAAAACTCAACTACTCCCTAGAGTTGGCTTCTGTAATGAAACTTTCAGGTTTTGGATCTGCTGAAAGTAAAATGCACCTTAATACTCAATTAAAGCTAAAATACACTACTTTATAGAGCTAGGCGGGGGAAAAAAAAATCTGAGTAAATTTACCAACAGTAGCCACAAGGGAATAAATTAAGGCAATTATGTCATCTCTCTTGTGAAAAATGGCAAGCCAATGATTTTTTTTTTAAATAAAGCATAAAAGAGTTTGGAAAAAAAAAAATCTGCTGACATCATTTTGTCCGAGTGTGCATGTTTCAGGCAAACTCAGACAGCAGTGCGGCTCGAGTACCGTGGCTCATGTTGCAGTTACCTGAAAAACTATCACAGGTGTTAGGTAGCAACTGAATGAAAGACACCAACAACTGTTTTAATTATTCAGCGGCTGTTTAGAACACAGCCTGGAGAAGAGCAGAGCAATATTCTGGGAAAAGAGAGGTTTTATTAAGTGGATTTTATTTGTTTCATCAGATTGGAGACTTGGAGGGTTACTACAGCGTCCTTCACCAGCAGACAGCAAATCGTTCCGCCGAATTCAACAAAGAAGTGACAAATCACCTTGCAAAGGAGCCAAAGGTAAAGTAACATGATACAACGCAGATGGAAGACTCTTTTGAAATATTAATGTCAGCACTTTTTTTTTTTTTTTTTTTCTCTAAGGTGTACCAGAATAAGTTCACATGATTATGTGGGTTAAGCATATTCATCTTCATTGTAAGCCTTTGTAACGTTGTTGACCTTGAGTGCTACCATAAGCTGTGCAACACTTTTAGTAAAAAAAAAAACAAAAAAACATTGAAACTGGGCTGGACTGCAATAATGCCAAAAGAAGGAAAATAAGAGTAACCCTAACAAATGATTTTTTTTTTTACTTTTATTTTTTTGCACAAAAAAGTGGAACAGAAGGAAAGCTCTCTTGCCTCAGGCCTTCAGCATCGGCCTTAATCCTGTGAAAAGCATTCTGAGGTTGTTGTCTGTCTGGGTCAGTGTGTGGGAGAATGGAAATAAAACAAAGAAGCTTTTTGTTCCTCCTCAAAAACATTTTTTTTTGTAGCTGCTGAGAAATGTGTTGAAAAGGTACAACATGGTCATGATGTCACAAAAAATGATTATAGTCATGCTTATTCAACTCTCCCACCCAACATTTAGCTGGCTGAGCCCCTTGTTGTTTACATCTTTTATTTCTGTCTGCCTTGTTTACAAGTTTAATTTGATGAAAACAAGGCAAGGAGACAAGGCAAGAGAGGATGTCATTTAATATTCTTTTGAGAGAAACGTTCACACATCTGCACTGGTCCTTTTTTCGAAACCCCGTGACTGTGAGAGGGCTAAGCAGGGAAGACAGACAGGAAAGAGAGATATTTTCTGCAAAATAGATACAACAATTGTCTGCATCTGTCCTAATTACCCGTGTTGCTTTTCAGGTGGAATGGCTCCAGCAGCAGGTGGTCTTAAAGAGAGTAAAGAGAACCTCCAGAAGAAGTCGCCTCTGTGGCCATGACCTGGTGAGAAGGCATCTTCATCCACCGATTCATCAGTCTGCCTTCAAACACAACATGCATTTTAGTTGGCCTTTGGGGAACGACCCGTGGTACACTGTATGTTACTTTCTCCCTCCCCTCTTTGTTTGTTTCTGAAACAAAACCAACTGAAAGCAGAAAAATAATCCAAGTCGAATATGCTAATGTGTGCCTGACAGAGCTGTACCGAGGCCAGTGGCTGCCAGACTGGTATGAACATCGCAGCGGCCTGGAGGAGAGGCTACACCGGGAAGGGTGTGGTGGTGTCTGTCCTAGATGACGGCATTGAGAAAGAGCATCCAGATCTGAAGCCAAATTATGTAAGTGCCCTGGGACGGGAGGCTCTTTTCAGGAAGGGGACATTAATCATAAGCAATTTGGCTGAGCTTTAAGTGAAAGAGCAAGGAGCCGAGACAGATATTGCAGTCAGGAACTCGCGGCCCAAAGGTTTAGAAAGGCCGGTTAAAAGTATTGGAATGGACATTAAATGTCTGATCCACTTAGCTGTGTGGCGGACTGGTGGATAATGCTCTTTGTGATTTGTCTGATGAAACAGAGACAGATAGCTGCTGGCAGCTGCTATGTGCTGCTCCTTACTATTCACTTGATTTAGGACCCACTTGCCAGCTGCGATGTAAACGAACAAGATCAAGACCCGACTCCAAAACATTCCAAGAATGCAGCCAACTCGTGAGTACACCTTGCCTCTAAACTTTCACGTTTGCTTGTGCTTTGCAGCATTCCCCATCATAACACCACCTCTAATTAAAGCAAGATTTTTTTTTTGTTTTTTTTTTTCTCCATTTCTTTTGTAATTACATGCACGTATAGATATGGAAATTGAAAGTTTTGCTTTGTCTCTGCACTGATGTCACGGAAATACCCTGTCTTCTTTTCATGCATATGCATCTAACCTCATGTTCTGATGTGCTCCTCCTTTCTCTGAAGCCATGGGACTCAGTGTGCGGGGACGGTGGCTGCATCCGCAAATAACTCTCTGTGCACAGTCGGAGTCTCATTCCGCGCACGCATAGGAGGTGAGTCCACGTCAAGGCTTCAAAGAAGCATTTTGAAGGTCTTTTTGAGGAATTGCAGATTCAAGCATTCTGTTTTTCCTTTTTTCTTTGCCTCAAAATTACCTTTAGGCATTCGTATGCTGGGAGGCGATGTGACAGATATTGTGGAAGCCGTATCATTGAATTTCAGGCCACAGTACATTGACATATACTTAGCCAGCTGGGGGCCGGATGATGACGGAGCCACTTTAGAGGGACCTGGACCCCTCGCTCGTCTCGCTTTACAGACTGCCGTTGAAACGGTAAGAGAAAGAGTGCGAACGTTTATTCCTCTTTAAATCATTTTATTCTACTATAGATAGTTTACAAGTGTTGGCTTCTTTCTCGAATTCGCCACAGGGCCGGCATGGAAGGGGCTCAATTTTCGTTTGGGCCTCGGGGAATGGAGGGAAAGCAGGCGATCACTGCTCCTGCGATGGCTACAGCAGCAGCATATACACCATTTCTGTGAGCAGCGTCGGTCGCCGTGGAGTCCGGCCAGAACACCTGGAACAATGCTCCTCCACACTGGCAGCGGCATACGGTGGTGAAGAGACAAAGAGGATGGTGAGCTCAGAAAGCAGCAGGAATTAGGTTGTTAAATCTCAAGGACCAGGCTTACATGAGGGGAAAAAAATAAAGGAAACTGAGGTTATGGATGGGAGGTAATAGGACTAACAACGGCTCCATCAAGGAAACCAAATGAAGAATCTTAAAAGGATTAAAAGTATGACATAGCCAGCATACATAGAAAATGTGTGAAATCAATTTAAATGGGAGAAACCTTCCTTTCACTGCAACTCTAGATGATTCATTTCAGTTTATTTAATTTTTCAACAGTGTGGGCACATGTACACATATCACATGAATACATTTAGTAATGTATGTAGTAAAAATATATTTATAAGTTGCTTAAACTACAGTAGTTTAACCTTCAACTGGAGCTAGGTCACATTGATTGTTAGACAAAACAAAGAAATGTGTCAATTAGCAATATATGTCAATGTTATTCATAATTTAAACTTTGCTTATTTAAATATCTCCTTTTTTCTTCAGTCATACATAAAATGTATTTTATTCTTCATTTAGATCTTTTGTTATCAAAATTTCTGACAGAATCTGTGACTGGAAAGCAGTCCATTATCTTTCATTGAGGCAGTTCTAAAGCATTTCAAAGTTAGCCTTTCTGTATGCTAAAATCCCAAATCTATCTAATAACAGCAGCTTTCAAAGCCTCCATTTAAATAAATATAATGGCTACATCTACACTGAGAAACATCAAAAGTGAGAGAAAGTTTTTTTTTCCTTCTTCTTCTTTTCATAAGTTTGAGTTCAGCTTTGCCTGTCTCTGTAAGCAAACACCTGGACTCACTTCCTGCCTGGAGCGGGCTGCTATAGGGTGCCAAAAAAAAAAAAAAAACAAGTGGGCAGACACCATTCTGCATAATCTTTAAGTTATGTTTAAAGCAAACTCACAGCAGACATCCAGCCTCTCTCCTCTGTGGAAATAGATTTGCATGATGTATCTAAAGTTTATTCTGGAAGACTCCCACTTTGCAGCAGCCGTTTACTCACTGTGAACTCACAGTGCTGTTTAATGTCATCAGAATTAGCAGCTCTCAGTTAAAGACTTCCACATGCATACAGCCTCAGTAAGATTGTTAACATATATACAACAGAAGCCCTAAATATCAGCAAATGAAAGCCACAAATTTTGACCACAAGAGCTAATGTCATTTGATGGTGTAGCCAAATTAAACTAAAATGTTTTTTTTTGTTTATTTATTTATTTATTTTTGGGGGTTATGTGCCATATTAGCTGTGAAAAACAATATTACCTAAATCTCTTTCTGGAGATCAAGTTTCTTTCAAGGAAATAAGACATTACTTTTATCAACAACACCAATGCAATAAAAATGAAAAAAAGTGTAATTTATAAAATTGATCACCAATTTGACAGTTCTGGGATGTTTAAAAAGTTATTTTAATCTTGCTAAAAGATTGAGATCTTGGCATCAATATCTAAGGAAGTTTGTTGAAAATAATAATGATGATTTGATTAAGGAATGAATCTAAAATATAACACATTTTAAACCATGATCTTGAGAAAGTGATCATGTGAATTTATGGTATTTTTCGGACTATAAGTCGCTACTTCTTTCCCACGCTTTGAACCATGTGGCTTGCAGCCCAGTGCAGCTTTTCTGCGGATTTTTCTTCAACCACCAGGGGGCTCCAGGAAATGGGTCATTGGAAGTCAAAATTGGAAATCAAAGAAGAAAGAGTTGATTTCCATTTCGAACAAGCACATGCTAGCAACAGGCACGATGGAGAAATGTTTTCAAACTCATTCCCCCTCATCATGGAAACAACACGAAGAAGTTCATATGATGCCGCTTTTAAGTTGAAAGCTATCAATCAGATCGATAGCCGCTGCACCTAAGCTCGGTTCGGCGTTGGAGAGGAAGGCCTGCGTCCATATTGTGGAAAACCGAGAGCAGCGGAGATACCAGCAGCATATAGCCCGGTGTACGTTTCCAGTTTTTTTTCTTTTTTTTTTTTTTTTTTTTCAAACTTTGGGTGCGGCTTATAGTGAGGTGCGCTCTATAGTCCGGAAGATACGGCAGGTATTAGAGAAGCTGTCAAAATTGTGACTATTTTCAAACAGAAACACAAAAATCTGTCATAACCAAATAGTGGACAACAAAAGCAGTCGTACAATCTCAGTTGGTTTCATTTGCAGCACATTAGGTTCATTATCCAGAATGATGATGATACAAAAGAAACAATCTTTTCAGTTTATTATCGTTTCACTTATTGCTGCTGTTGTTGACAGATAACCCTCAGACCACAGCAGGGATGCAGCAGGACTCTGTCTGGAACATCTCTCTCCTCCTCATTGGCTGCTGGGGTGATTGCTCTTACTTTGGAGGCCAAGTGAGCAGCTCCATGCCACACAACATATCCACATATCCAGGACCAAAGGGTCTAAATCAATAGCTATAATAGCTACTGAGACAATTCTGTTTCCATCTATCTGACCTTTCATAGCCCTCTCCTGACCTGGAGGGATGTGCAGCACATTATCGTCCGTACATCAAAAGCTCATCATCTTATTGCTCCTGACTGGCACTTTAATGGAGCTGGGTACAAAGGTAACATCATATCTCTGTTATGTTTTGTTTTGTTTTTTTTCCCCGAGTGTTTGCCGATATTGGTATAAAAACACATGATGTCTTCTGCATGAAATCCTTCCAACGCTGAGAGAAAAGATAAGCCGAGACTGATGTTTCAGTGAATGTTCTTTTAGCTTTTTTTAGGAGAGCCATAAAGCAGCGAGCATTTTGAAAACTAACGAGGTACAGAGAGCAGAACAGCGATAAACGCCTACGGAATCTCGGGGGGACGTGAAATCTTTTAGAAGCCTCTGTGCCCTCCCTACCCCTTGCTAATGTGTTGTGTATTTGTGCGTGCATGTCTGTCTGTTAGTGAGCCACCTGTACGGCTTCGGCCTGCTGGATGCTGAGAGCATGGCGAAGGAGGCTGAGCGCTGGAAACAAGTCCCAGCACAGCATGAGTGTGTGGAGGAGGAGGCCATCCAGCTGAGCAGGTAACGCACCAACAACTCTGCGAGAGCTTTGTTCTGAGTCAGGGCTTCCCCTGATTTCTTCTCATCTATCACACTTCATCTATTTCTGTCTCAGTTCACATGCTGATTCTCACGCACTTTAATAAGCTTCATTTTCTCTTGTGCTGTGCTCTTCCAACTCGCTTCTTGTTTTCCGCCTCCTCTCTCATCTCTGGTGCTTACTGTGTGGCTTCATGTTTTTTTTTTTTTTTTTTTTTTTTTTCCCTCCTGTCTGTCTTGTACAGAATTATTCATCCAGGCTCAGTGTTGACGTCTGCGTATGAGACCACCGGCTGCTCCAGCGCGGCCTCGCGGCACGTTGTTTATGTAGAGCACGTCGTCATCCGCGTAACCATCACTCACAGCCGT